TCTCTATTCCCGTATCCAATAAAGCACTAATTCCTGTAGGTTGTTTCTACAAAGTGGCCGTTTCCATGGCTTCCTTTCCACTTCCTTTCCCACCATAATATTTTGGGGCCTTGTCATGCCTTGCCTGAATTACAACTGGGGAGCTGGACTTCCAGTTGTCACTTTTTCCTCACTCCAGTCCAGCCTGCATTTTCCTTGTAGACTAAACATCGCTTTCATCATGTCACTTCCCTGCTCAAAAATCTTCATGACCCTCTGATTTCCTTCTACATTGAATGGAAACCCCTTGACCAGGACTTCAAAGCCCTCCTTAAGGTGAATGCACCCTTTTCAGTCAACTATTCAAAAAGGTGCTTTGGAAAGAAAAATGGCCAACAAACACACGAGAGAATGTTCAAAGAAATACAAATTTCATCTATCAAATCAGCAAAGTTTTTTTTTTTTTTTTTTTAGAGGATACTATTCAGTATTGGCAGGGAGTGATAAAATGGTCTCTTATCCACTTTTCGTAGAAATGTAAATTGGTATAATCTTTTTGGAAGGCAATTTGGTAATATGAAATTGACTCTCCACAGGACCCAACAACAACACTCCTGTTGTAGGCTAACTTGACCGCTGGGTTCCATCCCCCTCCCACTTCTTTAGGAACTCTGTTCCTGGACTTGTCTTCTATCTCCCGCATCACTGATTTCTCTCTGTATACTGGATTACCCCTATCAGCATGTAAGCATGCTGTAAGATTTCACATCTCAAAAAAGAATTCGTTCCTCGCCCTCGTGTTGTTCTCCAGCTATCTCCTTGAAAAGGAGCCTCCTCACTATCTCCACTTCACTTCCTACTCCCTCTTTAACTGACTTCAATCCTGCTGGTTCTCCCACATACCACTGAAACTGTTGTTGGGTGCTGTCAAGTTGATTCCAACTCACGGTGACCACATGTGCCAGGGCAGAACTGCTCCATAGCGTTTTCTAGGCTGTAATCTTTACGGGGAGCCCTGGTGGTACAGTGGTTAGGAGCTACAGCTGCTAACAAAAGGTTGGCAGTTTGAATCCACCAGCCACTTTTGGAAACCCTATGGGGCAGTTCTACTCTGTCCTATAGGGTCACTCTGAGTCGGAATCGACTCAACGGCAACGGATTTGGTCAATGGGTTTAATCTTTATGGGAGCAGATTGCCAGGTCTTTCTCCTGCAGAGCCACTGGGTGGGTTCAAACTTCCAACCTTTCTGTTAGCTGCTGAGCACTTAACCATTGCACCACCTGGGCTCATTTTCCACTGAAACTACTCATCCTCAACTCCAGTGGTCAACTGTCACCCTTCAACTTATTTTCTTAGCAGTATTAAACACAGTTGACTCCTTTGTGAAACTCTCCTTGGGTGCTAGGGACCATGCTCTCCTGGCTTCCTTGCCACCTCATGGGCAATTCCTTCTTAGTCTTTATTGCTGCTTCCTCCGCCTCTTACCTCTAAGTTCCCAGTGTTCCACCTTTAGACTTTCTCACTTCTCTATCTTTACCCACTACCCATGGGATTTTTTTTTTCCATTGCCATGGCTTTGAATGCTGAGCTCCCAATAAAACCCATTTTGATGAGTAATAGGCACTTCAGACTTAAGATGCGCAAAACAAACCAGAATTCTTGATTCTTCTCCTTCCAACCTGCTCCCCAACAAATCTTCCCCATCTCAGGAAAGGTACTACCATTCTCCCAGTTGTTCCAACTATTAATCTTGAAGTTAACCTTTTATTACTCTTTTTCATATACCATATTCTAATCCATAAGCAAGCTCGACTGGTTCTACCTTCAAAAAAATCCCAGAAGCCAGCAATTCTTACCATGTTCAACATGCCACTCTAATCCAAGCCTCCATAACTTTGACTGGGCAACTTCAATAGCTAGCTGGTTCTCACTGTTTCCTTCTTTCCCCCATACAGTCTTAAAACCCACCAATGGCTTTCCACTGTGCTTAGGATAAAATCCTACATCCTTACCATGACTGTGAAGTCATACATGGTTCAGACTCTGCCTAGCTCTCATCTCTTCTGCTTGCTTACTATGATCTAGCCAAAAGGAATGACCTTTCCTTGTTCCTTAACCAAGCTCACTTCTACCCCCAGGGACTTTATACTTGCTACTCTCTATGCCTAAAGTAAGAAGCCCTGGTGGTGCAGTGGTTAAAATGCTTGACTGCTAACAGGAAGGTTGGTAGTTGGAACCCACCAGCCACTCCACAGGAGAAAGATGTAACAGTCTGCTTCCATAAAGATTACAGCCTTGGAAAGCCTATGGGGCAGTTCTACCCTGTCATATAGGGTTGCCATAAGTTGGAACTGACTCGATGGCAATGAGTTTGGATGCCTAAAGTCGCCTTATCCAGGTTTTCAAATGGCTCACACTTTCCGTCTCTCGGGTCTCTGCTCAAATGCCCCCTCATCAGAAAGTCTTCCCTAAACACCCTACCTAAGGTAGTCTTCTCATCATTCCCCTTAGCCCACGATCTCCTTAACCTGGTTTCTTCATAGACTTTATCCCTATCTGGAACTGCATTATTTATTTGTCTCTCTCCAAAACCAGAATTTAAGCCCTTTGTATTTTTTAAGCCCTATAATTTGCCTTGCTTATTATTGTGTCACCAGCACCTAGAATAGTATCTAGTACACGGTAGGTGTTCAGTAAGCATCTGTTATATGAATGAACAAACTATGTTTTTAAAAGTCCACTTTAAAAAAACGGGAAGACTCTAGACCGATGTTCACTGCAGCACTATTCACAATGGCCAGAACGTGGAAACCAAAATGTCCACTGACAGAAGAATGGATAAACAAAATGTGGTACATACATACAATGGTCTATTACTCATCCTTAAAGAAAAACAAAGTCCTTGTGCGTGCCACAACATGGAGAAACCTTGAAAATATTATGCTGAGTGAAATAAATCAGGTGCAGAAGGACAACTACTGTATGATCTCTTTTACATGAAATAAGCACATCTATAGAGACCAAAGCTTATCAGTGGTTACCAGGGCTGGGAGGGAGGGGGAAAGAGGGACTTTTTGCTTAGGGAGCATTGAGTTTATGTTAATGGTGGTAGAATAATTTGGGAAAAGATAGCTATACTGGTTGCACAAAATGAAGAATGTAATCAAGGTCACTGAATTCTACCTGTAGAAATTGTTAAATTGGCCAATGGTTTGTTGTGTATACTTTCACCACAATAAAAATAAATAAAACTAGAAGGAAAAACATCTGGGAGGTGAGATTGTAGGTTTTATTTGTTTTCACATTTTCTTTTTAGGCTTTTGAATGCTTCTCACATTTTCTGTATCAGGTCTTATCTTTTATAATCAGGGGAAACATAAGCTATTTAAGCCAACAGGAGATAGCCTGTGGTCTCATCAGGCCGGTTTTATCACAATTCCAGAACAAGCACTCAGTGCATATTCTTGTCAGCTTCATGCCTTTTCTCTTACATGTATGCCTTCCTTTCTCACTTCACCTCTAAAAAGCAACCTTTCAGGGCTCAGCTCAAGGCCCGTTCCCTCCTAACCTACACTTAGTTGGGTATGGTGAGCTACATTTATTCATTCTCATTCATTAAATCTTTTCTGTTTGTTGGTGAATTTTCCCTCCTCAGAAGATATGTCTTAACCTGCCCTCCAAAGTCTCCAAGAGAGCTGATGACAGAATAAGTACTCAATAAATACTTGTAGATAGTACTAGGGGTTGAAGCTACTAGGTCTTGAAACTGGAGTCTTAAAACTTATGGTACTTCTTCCATTATGCCATGCTCTGTAGTAGTACTTCAGCTTACATTTACTAAGCACTTACTACCTGCCAGGCACTTGCTATTCATGCTCTGTTTTCCAGTAGGAACTGCTTTCGTATTCATCTTAAGATTGAGGAAACTGAAACTTAGACAGGTTACATAACTTGCTTAAAGTGACAGAGCTTGAAGTAGTAAGGCCTGGGTTAAAACGAAGCAGGTGCCCAGAGCCCAGGCTCCTTACCAGCAGGCTATTCGGCCTCATCAGGCTACACTATGAATGAAACACGATTTCCTTTGACTTCTATGCCACAAGTATGCTTTCAGTCTAACTGCGTCCTTTTGGTCAAGTTACTTGACCTCACCACATCTCAGTTTCCTCATTTGTAAAATGGCGACAATAATACCCGAGAGGGCCGTTGTTAATGTTAAGATGTGAATGTTGTTGTATGCTGTCAAGTCAATTTTCGACTCATAGTAACCTCATGTGACAGAGTAGAACTGCCCCATAGGATTTTCTAGGCTGTAATCATTATGGGAGCAGATCACCACATCTTTCTCCCTCAGAGCAGCTGGTGGGTTTGAACTGCTGACCTTTCTGGTAGCAGCGGAGCATTTAGCCATTGTGCCACCAGGGCTCCTTACAATATGAATGGTGTCTCACATAGTTCCTAGACATTGCAGGCACTTGGTAAATGACAGCTGCTATTATTAGATATTCTGTCTTCTTGATACAGGACCCTGGTGGCTCAGTGGTTAAACTTTTGGCTGCTAACTGAAAGGTCGGTGGTTTGAACCTACCAACCACCCTGCAGGAGAAAAGACCTGGCAATCTGCTTGCATGAAAATTACAGCCTTGGAAACCCTATGGGGCAGTTCTACTCTGTCCTATAGGGTTGCTATGAGTTGGAATCAACTCAAGGGTAATGGGTAGTATCTTCTTGATAGTTACTCTTTACAGTGGGCTATGGTGGCACCACCTCATTTCTTTCTACACAGCAAGTGGCCTTGGCCAGACCTCCATCTCCAAATCTGGGTGCCACAGCTCTTATGTGGTGGTGAAGGTGCTATTAAAATGCCTGGACCACGAAAAAACAAATAAGCATTCCTGCCCCATGTTAACCAGGGCTCGGATTTCCTTGTCTGAATGCACAATAGGAAGAGGGTTACGTTACAGGAGTAGATGTTTTTGTTTGTCATCCAGCCCCGCTAATCTAAACATCTGTCACCCTTCAGGAATTATTTTAGGACCAGGAAGCAGCACGTTGTTTATTGAAAGAGTCACAGAAAAGGATGAAGGCGTCTATCACTGCAGAGCCACCAACCAGAAGGGTTCCGTGGAAAGTTCAGCATACCTCACCGTTCAAGGTAAACAGCTGCTTTGAGAAAGCAACCAGAAACCGCTCAGACATCTATTTCCCTGTTTGTTTAAGTTTGCACCTCCCAGTCTGCCGCCTATCGCTCCAGTCTGTTCCCTTCCCTCACCTCCCTCTCCCCTCTCCCTGGCTTGTCGGGGAGGGAATGTCTGGTTCTGCTTGGCAAGGCTGATGGTGAAGAGCCAGGATACCCAGCTCAACCCCCGAGAATGACTGGCTTGGGCTACACCTGTGAGACACAGGTTCAAGGAGGAGGGAGATGGGTGAAGGTGGGGGAAAAAACTCACACTTGAACTTGTTCATTCCCTTTCCTCTTCAATTCCTATGAGTTGGATATATGTAGCTCTTTGGAATGTTCTCCTAAGCTAGTTTTTAACACGAAGTAGGCTGCAAAGTATTATCAGAGAGAAGCAACACACAACAGACCACATTTAAGAGAATATTCCAAGTGCTTCCTCTTTTCTAGGCCCCAGAGAGTTTGTTGAGCAGCAAATTACAAAGAGGCCTACTCTGACCCTGGGCTGTGGCCATGTGGCTTCCATTTAGAAAATAGCCTAGACCTCAGTTTCGATTCTCCAATGCCAAGAACTACCCAAAACACAAAATTTACCGTATCGTAAAATATCACATTGGCACCTCTTCGATGTAAATATCTATGGCACGCTGAGGTTTTCCGTGAAACAGTGGAACCTTTTAAGTAGACTATTTCCTAACGCTCACCAGTCAACATCAGAATATGCATGTATTTGGCCAGGAGGAGCTAGCAAAAGGGCACCATCCTTCAGTTCTTTTGCTCTGGAAACTTACATGGCTTAAGGATCATAACTCTGAGAAAGAATTCAGACTCCTCCAAAACAGAGCCTCAACCTCATTCTTCTACAAGGATGAAAATATGAAACTGCCCCATCACAAATTCATACTTTCAGAAGCAGTGGGAGAGGGTAAACCTATTGCCGTTGAGTTGATTCCGACTTATTGCGACCCTACAGGATAAGTAGAACTGCCCCATAGGGTTTCCAAGGCTGTAATCTTTACAGAAACAGAATGCCACATCTTTCTCCTTCAGAGTGGCTGGTGAGTTCCAACTACCTTTTGGTTAGCAGCCGAGCACTTAACCACTGCGCCACCAGGGCTTGTTAGTGGGAGAGGGCAGCATTCCCAAAATGCTTTTAGTAATGGTCCTGTTTGTGTCCCAAGTCATCCATGTTCTAAAATACTCTTTCAACGCTTCTGCTGAACAGTTTATCAAGCGTGCATCTCTCTTTAACACCTTTCCTCAAACAGTGAGTAACGTGTCTTTTAACAAGGACTCCAGATGTGGCCCTCAGGGAGTGGCTGCCTCAGGCCAGGGAGGACCTAGATCTGCGAGAGGGGTGGCAGCAGCGAGCAAGGAGGACTCCCAGGGAATCTGCAGTCCAGAAGGTTTTCCCTGCCATATCCTCACAACCTTATTATTAACCCCAGAGAGGGGTGAAATGATCAGCCTATACCCAGGTAAAGAGCCATGGTGGCACAGTGGTTAAGTGCCCAGCTGCTAACGAAAATGTGGGCGGTTTGAACCCACCAGCCTCTCCAAGGGTGGAAGATGTGGCAATCTGCCTCTGTAGAGATTACAGCCTTGGAAATCCCATGGGGCATTTCTACTCAGTCCTATAGGCTCACTATGAGTTGGAATTGACTCGACAGCAATGGTTTTTTTTATATCCAGGTAATTTCAGACCTGGGGTGAAAACTGGACTCTTGCCCCACCCCCGACCCCCCATCGAATGGCAGTCTTCCCTGGCCACGTGTCTGTCCCCATCTTCACTAGTAGGAATATAGATCAGCAATGGCTGGGGGGCCTGAGTGCTTGGGAGGAGCCCTTGCCTATGGTGTTGTTCTTATGTTTCATAGTCCTGGGCAAGTGAATAAGTTTCTGAGTTAACGACCTGTCAAATGTGGCTTCTCTCTCTTGCCTGAAACGGTCTATCGCTGTATTTCTTTCTTCTGACATTAAATGATGATCTTCTAATTAGTTAAAGCCAATAAACATTTACCAAGTGCTCTGAGATATAACAATGAGTAATCAGCAATGATCAGCATTGCATTAAAGGTATATCCTACACGCTATGGGAGCACAAAGGAAAAAATGATGGTGTGACAGGAGGTCAGGTATAGAGAAATGACACAAGAAGAAAATGAGTTTCAAAGGATGTGCAGGATTGCCCAAGGGGAGAACAAATTGGGAAGGAAGGCTATCCAGACAAAGGGGAAACCAAGTGTGTGAAGGCAGAGAGGCTAGGAGGAGCACAGTGCTTTCAGAAAACTACAAGTAGTTCAGGACAGCTGGAGTGCGGGGGGGCCGTAAAGGGGAGAAGAGATGAAGCTGGAGAAGGAGCCAGGAGCCTCATTTGCCTCATAGCAGGCAACCAGAAGCCACTGAAGGATTTTAAGCAAGGAAATAACATGCAGGTAGTGAGATCTGGTGGAGCAATGATTAAGTGCTTGGCTGCTAACCAAAAGGTTCGTGGTTTGGACCCACCCAGCTGTTCCACAGGAGAAAGGACCTGGTGATCTCCTCCCATAAAGCTTACAGCCTAGGAAACCCTGTGGGGAAGTTCTACTCTGTCACATGGGGTGACTATGAGTCAGAATCCACTCAACAGCACCCAACAACACCAACACTGAAGGACATGGAAGTACAGGCCATGATCCCTAACTGGGGTGTGCTTTGGAAACCTAGTTGGAAGATTAAGGCGTACATGAAGCAATGAGAACCAGTTCCACAAACATTTTGTGCTTTTCCTAAGGGTAAAGTAGAAACGCTCATTTATATAAAAGCCCACACAATGCTATGACTGAGGCAAAAGCAGACATGGAGTATGACTTGATCTCTACAGCAGGCCTTGTAGGATGTTGGGTCGGCCAGGTGAAGGGGGCAGGAAAGGAGAAGACAGGGAGTTGCTTTATAACTCTGCATTTATAACCGTCTGCATTGAGTCCAACTAGTTCTAAATTGTTCCTACTGGGTAGTCCATGGAACGTTCTGATGACTGGTACTTCTGACTCCAGGCCTCTTTTCCCTCATGTGGCATGAACCTTCAATATTACTTAGAGAAATATTCTAGTTTGCAAGGTGGCTGCAGACACTTCGCGGCTATGGCTCTTTATTTTTACCCATTATGGCCCCCAGCTGCCATGCTTTTGAGTTCTTGTGCCTGCTTTTTGTAGCTTTTCCGCTTCTCCCTTGCTCTCTTTCATAACTTTTTTTATGCTCCCAGAATGACAGCTGGATCCAACCTCTCTGCTTAAAAATTGTGGCTAGCTGAAAAAACAATCCGATCTGCATGAATCAAACCACACCTGAAATATTGTGCTCACTGATAAGAGATGAGTAAATAAATGGACTCGTGTCCAGAATAATGTCAGAATAAATAGTGCTAGGAAATGAGGATGTTTAGTCAAAAAAGAGACAACTTGGGGTGACATGATTGTTTTCTTTAACTATTTAAGAGGCATTTAACTCTTTTCTTTTTTGATACATCGGAAAAGATAACTTGAAACAAGGAAGGAAGATTGTGGTGAAGTTTCAGGGAAGCAGGCTTCGGCTCCATTTAAGGATGTAATTTTGCATCGAGAGAATATTTGAAAGTTGGTGTTACGTGGATCTTAGGAAAGCCTGCATGTTTGAGATAGGGGAGAGTCTTGAATTTACATACTTTGGGCTCGTTGAATAAAAATGTGAACCCAGGATGCCGTTCAGAACAGTTGCCTGCAGTCATGCCCAGTAATTTTATAAGTGAAGTTGGATTCTTGCTCTAGCGTCTCAACCATTTCTCTTATCACTGCAGTGGCTGGGTTCCCATTCTATGCATACAGATACGTCGCACTGACTGATCTCCTCAAGATGAGTTTAGGAAATGAAACTAGGCAATCAAGTTGTGTCTGTGGCTATGTTTAACAGATTTGAAAAGAGGTTCATGAATTAGCCAGGAAGGAAGCTGTCTGCTCTTTTTATTTCCTTGGAAAAAGAGCTCTTATACTCATAGATAAAACAATGCGTTATTTTTGTATCTGAAGAGGATGAATGGACTGTAGAGTCAAAGGAGCTTCTTTAAATAATCACAGGTCTTGTTTGGTTTGGACCCAGCACATTGGCCCACGTGGAGCTCTGGAGGGGAAATTCTAATATTAAAAAAAAAAAACAAAAAAACCAAAAAACCCAACAACAACACAACAGTTACCAACCAAAATTAAGTTTGCAAAATAACATAGCACTTGCTGTGTAGAACTCAGTGGGGCTCTTGCAACGTAATTGTACCACATTTTTCATCCAAGAACTTACGTAAGCTATACTTTATAGTTATTACTGCAAATAATGAAGCCTTCATGGTGCAGTGGTTAAAGCACTGGGCTGCTAACCAAAAGGTCGGCAGTTCGAACCCACTATGCACTTCATAGGAGAAAGATGAGGTAGTCTGCTTCCGTAAAGATTACAGCCTTGGAAACCCTATGGGGCAGTTCTACTCTGTCCTATATACAGGGTCGCTATGAGTCAGAATTGACTCGACAGCAACAGGTTTTATTGCAAACAATAACCACAATATATCCAAATACATTCTTCTAACACAAATTTAGGCTTTATTATAGCTCAATTGATTTATAATTATGGTTATTTCATGGGAGGAAAGCAACTGGAAGAAAAACAAATGTCATTTTAAACATTTTTTGAGAAGAATCGTTGAATACAAACATCTCATGAGGTTCAAGAGGGCAGCCTGAGGGCCATGCAGCCTAAATACTTCTGATGGCATTTTAGGTGTGAGTGGCAAGTGTTGAGCCTCAATAGTTGCACATTAACACTATCTGAGGAAAGGACTCATATGGTAGGAAGCATATACTGTTTCCTCTAACAGAATTCCAAGAGTTGAGAATAGGAAAAGTTCAAACAAAATTGTCTTGGGTATTCAGCCACCCCTTTTTTATCGCCCTTGTCCAGCTTTCAGTTCTCCT